AGAGGTCACCTAACATAAAATTGCTCAAAGCAAAACACGATTAACCATGAAGTTCCTATGATTGAGCCACCGAAAAGGAAGATGCACCTTATTGGTATAGGTAGTAACTTTCATTTCCTTTAAACCTTTCTTAGTCATCCTATTCTCAAGACCACTTTCATTTGAATGTGGACTCAGTTCATTCATGTAACCCTTTATTCGCGTGTCACATGCCCACGAGTTTTTGCCTTGGTTCATCCTTGAACCACATCTTACTAGGAAAGTATCACTCTGATGCCATTTGTAACGACCCATGCCTAGGATTTAGATCAACATTCGAAATCCAAATTTGGCACCTGATGGCCCCAACATTCCCCTGCATCCCCTACGACATGGTTACATTACCTACTTCTCCCTTCTTAAGAGTGAAAACTATCTCCACAGACCAACACGAGTCCTGTTAGCATGTTTTGTCCTCACTCACATGCAATCCAGGAAAATTCTGAGGAGGTCACCCAACGTAGCTAATAAAATTGCTCAAAGTAGAGTACGCTTAACTATAAAGTTCCAATGATTGAGCCACTGAAAAGGAAGATGCACCTTGTTGGTATTGGTAGTAACTTTCATTTCATTGTTGGTATTGGTAGTAACTCCTCCAAAAATGTATGCCTTATGAGCCATCTCCCCCAACTGTGCTCTTTGTGTAAAGCTAATGAAGAAACTCAAAATCACTTGTTCACTAAATATTGGAGCATAATTCTTAATTCCTTTGGATGGATAACGGTTCTTCCGATGGATTGAGAGATCTCCTCAATCACGTCCATGAGGCCCATCCCTTCAAAGAAGCCAAATCTACTCTTTGGATGAACGTGTCTTGGGCTTGTTTTTAGGGATTTTTGGGGAAATAAATCAAAGTATATTCTTCGATAAGGAAGTTCATCTGGATGTTTTCTTTGATTTTGTTTGTTATTATCCTATCTCTTGGTGTAAATTGTCTAACATCTTTGCTTCATATAGTTATGCTTCCTTTTGTAATTTTATACATCAATGAAATGAAATTGTTTCTTATCCAAGTAAAGAAGTGAAGGCATGTTCCCTTATCAAAAAAATGAAAGGTATGACTATGCTAAATGAGTATACTTCATGAATTGGTTAATACAGAGGGAGAATTAATGGTAACTTCCATTTACGCTTATTCTCTAGGCATGTGTATAAGGAATAAGGAAATCGACAAAATCAAAGCCAGGATGGGATGACAATAAGTAATAGTAACAAACCTTCGGAAATATCATCAAGTCCTGGAAAATCAAACCAGTCATATGACTTGACGTGTAAGGAACCATAAATTAGTTTGCTCAACACCGTCATTCCAGGATGATTATGAAAAGGTATGATAGAAGCTGGAGGCATACAGAAAATACCTATCTGCAAAAGAGTTCATAATAGGAATTTCACTTAGTTCTTACCATCCAAGAATAAGTCTAGTTGTTTTCCAATAGAAAAAGTCTTTAATCAATAAGTAATTATCAAGGATTTTACTTCCCAACGATAAAATGATTGGAACATAGATGCTTACGGAGAAGCTATCACACTCATGCAAATGCAAGTATTTAATTGGTGGCAATGGTTGCCGTCTCCCATTACGTTCCTGCACAGGTTCCTGCCAATTACGAACGACTTGCGCCTCCTGTTCAAGACCTACATCAGAGGGCTTGACTTTTTCTGCAATCAAATGATCTATGATTAAATATGCAAACCTAACAGCAAAATAGGCAATTGATGGGCGCCTAACGCATGATGCAACGTTCAAAGAAAATGAATTTTAGAAATAAATTTACCATGTTGTGAATATGAAAACAAAGATAGTATCTCTTAACTTCTTTTATTTTTATTTTTTTGGTTTACTCCACTAACATATCTAATGTGTTACATTAACCCTCCTCACTACGACCCATAAAGTAAATCACATGAACCATAAATAGCGGCATTGTATTTCTGATATCACTTCAAGCCATTAATGAGATTACTCGAACAAATGTATTTCAAGCTATGCTTGTAAGTAATTTCATTTTAAGCCTAAACCAAAGTACTTAACCAAACAGTAAGTGTGTTGCATGCCCCATGTACGATGCATGGCTTTCAGAATCACCATAATACTAACAAGTTAAAACTCCTAAAACCAGGAAATGCAGAATTTCACTTGGCTCAATGGGACTCAATCCACTACTCGAAGTAAATGTAAGCCAATTGGACTTGTGGTCATGCTAACACTAAAATCTAAAATTAACCAATTCATGAAGTAATTGTAGAACCTGTTCATTAAAAACTCTACAGCCTGAATTCTGATTATCCTATAATAGTTATATCACTGAAGGGTTCCAAAGACAGTGATAAAAAGTAAAATCCATTTCATGAAACATCCTAATTAAAATCTTGATTGGTCAAATAAGATGAGACAGAAGGATTAGTTCAAAATTGGATGTAAACTGAAATCATATCATACCTAACATGGCACGAACTTTTTCAAGGGCTTCTTCCGACACGGGTCCATTAGGAGACAACGCAGATTTACAAGTATTATAGAGTCTCTGTATGTAATATGGCATGACGCAAAGACGATATCAACTTAACTGAGAGGACTGAAGCCCGAAGCCAGTAAGCTGATAACGTCTTTACAAGACGTTTATCAACTATAATGATGATAAAAACTATAACAGGATGGTAACTCGAACTTATTCTGCATACGTAGCCAACAGCAATAGATCTGCATGGCAGTGGATCCTCTCTTTTAACATTACTTATCGGCCCCTAAAAACGGGAAAAAAAAAAAAAAATCGGCTAAGTTCAAAATAGAAATACCAGCTCAAGAGCATAACAAGAGTTATTAAAACCACAACCATCCACAGTACTTCTTCCACGCGTAAAGGAACAATAAAGTTCGTCAAGTAGATCATCAACTTTAGAAACAGGATAATCAAATTGAATTACTCACTGCATCAATTATCACTATCGCAGCTAAGATAGTGCAAGAAAAACTAAAGAGTTAGAAACTAAACACCGTGGTTCTTCGTTTTCCGGAAATCAATAAATCATATCCTAAGCACGAACCAGATGTCTCGAGTCCTCCATCATATTTCAAGAACCAATACAAAGTGCGATATAAAGAAAGAACAGTGGAAAACAGTAAACATCTTGCCATATGAACAATTAGAAAACCTCATCAAGGAGGAAAACCAAATTCTGATGAAGTAGAGAGCAATTAAACGAACTAGAAAATGTGAAATTCAGTCGGTAGGAACAAGAACAAGAATCGAAGAGAAAGACGGATTAAAGAGCACAGTAGTAGTATAATTTCGAGCATCATAAACTTACAGAACCATAATCTGAAAAGGCCAGACAAGGAAGCGAGGAAAGCGAAGGAGAATAGTGAGGAAGAGATTTAGAAAGTGAAAGAAGAAGGAAGTCGTCGGAGGATTTGGTACCTGAGGAGCTGCACCGAGCTGAGAGATCGCACCCAAGCTTAGAATCAGGAGGAGGAAGACGACGGAATGGCTTTATATTACGTCATTAATACCATTCCTTTTTCCTTTTTTTTTTTTTTTTTTTTTTTTTTTTTTTTTTTTTTTTTTTTTTTTTTTTTTTTTTT